TACATTATTGTAAGTGAAAAGTTAAATTAAAAATTGTATTTCAAATCAAAGGATTGAAAGTATTTTGTATTTTGTAATTCAAATACTAAGATTGCCAGTATTTTGCATATTTTGTATTTTAAATACTTTAATGATGGTATTTTGCCCTGGATATTTATTTGATTATGTCGGATTTTACGGGCCCCGCGCGCAAACGTCGGACTCGCCGCGTTGCGTATCGCCTGTGTATATAGCTATATTAATTTAAGGCGCTCTCTGTCGATCGCCGCGCACTCCGCGCGCAGCATGCGTGAGATATAACGTGGGCAGCTCATATCTCGGCAGTAACAAACGGCACGCTCGTTAACGTTCAAGCGCCTTGAAGCATTACGATGAATTAATATCCGTAAACAGAATCCGAAAGGAGAAACACGTTCTGAGGTACGAAGGTAACGGTTGGGATGTGTGTTGATACACGCGCGCACGCATACGCACACGCGTGGAGAGACGCGTTAATGCTGGTGGCCATCCCTTCTTATTAAAGGAATTAATTATACATCCCGTGCAGTTTTCTTCCGCGATGCTTCGTTATTGGCAAACGAGATTTTTTTTTTTCAAATCGCTTCCGGTTTTTTTTTCTTTCTAAAGAGAATTAAATGCTAGAGAACATGACAGCTGAATCAAAAGTATATTCTATGTACGTGTGTATTACGCACACGGCTGAAACGAAATTTATGAATCACGTGGAATCATTCTGTGTGAGGCATGTTGCGCTTTTGGCAAACTTGTTGTTTTTAAAAGGTGCCGATTATATATTCCTTCAGTAAAGCAGTCAGAGCAAGCTGTTAATTGTGTCGTCAAGCTGATTTCATCGATCCTCTTGTTCATTCCTACATTTTTTTCTCCATTTTTCGTAATATCGCAGTTCCGCAATTATCAAGCCCTATTTTACTTTATAAAAAGCAAAATAAAACTTTTTTTTTATTTAATTTCTTCCCCCTATTCTCATTTTTTTATTTCAATTGAATAAAATATCTTACACCACGCAGGTAACAGCGAGAGTTTTGCATTTTCTTGTAAACCATCGTATACTGTGTAAAATATAAAGAAATATAAAGAAATTTTATCTATATTAGTCGGAAAAATTGCGTATTTCCGTGTGTACGCAATTATTTCGCAAGTTGCACGCAGTTGAAAGAAATACAATAACATACCGACGACAAACTGACGATATCATGCATAAAATGTAACAGATACATTTACGAGCAATGACATATGTTTCCGTCTAATTCTAAATCAAGCATATATATAAGATTGCATGATGTGTAACACGCGATATACAAGGTTACCACTCTAATAGCATCGACCGACAAATCTGTCTTTTTTTTTGTATTTCTCGAATAAAATTCAAATTTTTCTTACCGCAGTTCAGAGATCTGAGTATATCAGGAGATTTTATCATTTTGTAAATGAATTTTAAAGAAGTGTTCGCCTATCTCTTTACGATATTTATAAGAGCTGCACGTAGCATTAAGTACAGCTTAAAATATACTTATACGTGCTTGAATGCGAGTTTAAATGAAATCTGTCTGTATGTTAATAGTTGTTGCATTTATTTATCATCAATTATTATTCACAAATCAATACGTTTATATATATATATATATATATATAAACGTATTGATTTGTGAATAATAATTATTATATATATTTTTTATAATATATATATATAAAGAATATAAGAATCGAAAAGTAGGTTTCTCAAAATTAAATAACATAATTAATCGTAAAATGTAATTTAAAATATTTGCGTAAAAATGAGAAGATCTAAGAACAGAAAAATGATATATAGCTTCTCAAAATAAGGGAAATTTAGATTTTTAAATTTGGGCTATAGCAAACATTTCAAATTAATTTTAGGTTCCGTGCGAGTTGAAAATTGGGACTCTATCGGCGAAAGGAGGCTTCAATTAAGAGTTTATCAAATTCAATACATATATCATTTAATGGCTTGAAGAAACGAGAGACCAAACTGAAGTTATCCAGGATTCTGAGACAAGTTAAATCAATTGTATGAATATCGGAAAGGACATTAGAAATTCATGATCCAAAAATCATCGAGCACTACAATTTGCCTAATCAACTCATCCGAAAGCAATAATAATAATAATTTACTGACCTGTCAGACATTTCCTCTCGTTTCGACATCTCTTCTTCTCACCGTTGGTGGTGGTGGTGGTGGAGGAGGGCTTGAAGGTGGCGGTAGCTCAGTCACCTGTGGAGAACTATTCTCTCTCTCTCTCTTTCGCTCTCTTAATCACTCTTTCTCGTTCGTTCTGGTAGGAGGACAACGGGAAGCAGGATGCTCATCGGACGTTCGCTATCATCCTGTGTCTTGGACTAGACTGCACACTGGCACCGGAGAACCCGTTCCACTCCCTCTTCTTTTTTCCTCAGCTCTCCTCGAACCGGCGCAGGAACACCCGAAGGTTGCCCTCAACTTTTATCGTACCAAAACGGTCATCGCGCTGCGCCATTATAAGACCGGTGTGCACCACGGTATGCACGTTGCGCACGTAAGGATTGTTTTCTTCGAGTTGGCTGCAGGTTGATCGGCTGGCTGGCTGGCTGGCTGGCCGACCGGCTGGCTGACCGACTGGTTGGCAATACCGACTTTTAGCTAAGCCACCACACGGCGGAGGTGCTCTCCTCGGTACACCGCGGCGAGACTATAAGGTGGTGGAGACAGGTCGAGTAGCGTAATCCAACGCGCGCGATCACCGAGAGGGTGGGAGATTTTCTTCCACCGCTGCATGCACAACCACCGCTTGTACAGCGGCTCCCACCATCGCGGGCTACCGAGAGACGGTGCGAGATGCGGCTTCCAAAGACGACTTAGGTATCGCAAACACATCTCGTCAAACGCCGCGAACGTGATCCCGAAAATACTCGCCCGATGTACATCCTCGAGGATTGCCAAGACCACCGCGTAATCCACGAAGGTATATCGCGACACAGTTTCTCAATTAAAATCCTATCCCTATTGTGATGAGATGGAGAGCAGACTGAAACGATCGTATCGTGATCGTCGTCTTTGTATAAATGTATATAAAGCTTATTATACAATTATTACATTAATTTACGTTAGTTGACAAGGTGGTTGGACGAACATCGCGAGCGAGAGAGAGAGATTTAAAATGATGTCTTCCACTTTAATGTAACAGCATCGCGAAAATTCATTGTATTTTCGCTTCAATTAATTTTCAGCATCCTCAGCGGTATTTTATCAAATTGTCATGTATATACATTAAGTTAGAGTAGAAAACTTTGTTCTTCTTCCTCCTCCGAGGGCAAATCCTGTTCTTCCTTTTAAACAACGACCTTTCTTCTGCGCTTCTGTGCTTGCTTCTTGGCGCTTCTCCTTCTGCTCCCCTCCTTGCTCGGCGAGTCTGGCTCTTGGGATCGTCATTCTGCAGGTTCGCATCATTAGTTTTTATTTTGCGACGGTACCGTGCTATTTTTATCCCGCGGTACTCCTCCTCTTTTCTTCTTCTTCTTCTTCTTCTTCTTCAATATCATTATCATCATCTTCTTCTTCTTCTTCGTCTTTCTTCGTCCGTTCTTCGAAGACTACCTGTATGCACACGTAGCTTATTATTACACGGAACTTCTGACCAAGGAACTCAGAGTGGGATGGAGCGAGAGGACTCATTCCTTGATTAAAAAGTTCAAAGAACTTAATTCGGCATTTTACGGCCGCTACTGTAGATATTATAGACATTAATCAATGCAACTTATTTTTTTTCATGGTGTATCAATATCAGAATATCATTCTTTTTTAATTTATATTGAATAGTGTGTCCGATGATAGATACATCTAATATTTAAATAAACAAATAAATTATGAATATGAATACGAATACAAATACAATTTTTTTTATATTCATGGAAAATTGAATAAATATATTTATGAATATGATTACGAATATTTTCGATTTCGCATTCACCCCCACTCTACACGCTAAAATTCTGCCTTCGAGCTTGATTTAAATTTAGGAAACACAATGACAGCGAGAAAAAAATGAAAGCCATTGCCAATGCTTTTATTGGGGATTGTGAGGAATCTATTAATTAAATAATATATTTTATTTAACATCCACGAGATGTTAAAGCACTTAAAATATAGAATTAACATTACTGTTATTGTAATCCGTACGAAATTGCAGTGTTCGATTTTACGTATCTTTTTGGTTTGCAAAAATATAGAGAATAAAAATTATATGTTATAAAAAGAATTATTGTTGCGAATAAAAGACTTTTAAATAAAAAATTTGTTTTCTAAAATTCTTTTTAAAATTTGTAGGTTTTCTTTATCAAATCTGGGTATTAATAAACGATATATAAAATTTATTTTTCACTTTCTTTTTTACTTTACATTTTGTATGAATAAATATGAATAAATCATAATACATAATCATAAAATATTCACGAATAAATATTTTTAAAAGCCCACAAGTTTGAATAAATATTTAAATAAATATTTTTTTATTATGAATATTTTTTTATTTAATGTGAAAATTTTGAATAAATATAAATTGTAGTCCAATTACGAACTTTTTGTATTCATCGGACACACTAATACTGAAAAACGAGCAAGAAAATATATTCCGATTGCGATTATTATATGAAAAACCAACCACGAGAGAACAGTTGCTCCACTTGTCATTTGAACGAATAAGAAACTGAATGAGTGGATAAAACTGACGAGCTATTAATTGTGACATCAAGCTTCATTGATCCTCTTGTCCTTTTTTTTTATATATTTTTCATAATATCGCAGTTTTGCGATTATCAAGCTTTATCACGGAAAGAACAATTTTGCTGAATTCAGATCTGAAAATAATTTTTGTTCAATAATCAAAATTATTTCGTACGAAAGTCAAAATGATTGCTGGAATATCAAGATGTTTTATAGCAATGCTTATCAGTTTTAATTACATTCCAATAAATTACTTTGATGATTCAACAAACAATTATTTTCAGATCTGTTTTTAGCAAAATTTTTAGATCTTTCAACAAAATCGTTTTTTCCGTGTACCCTTGAGCCCTGCACTGAGAGAAAAGTTTAGTATGAACAACCAAAATTTTGTTACTGATACCAAAACTATGTGTTGATATGGGACCAACTAAACTAACACGTCGATATTAATTCGTTGAATTTATTGAATAAAATTACCAAAATAATTACATTATTTTGTTGAACTTACTAAAAGAAAACTTATTTTGTAATTGCAACCCAATTTTATATTACTGTGTACAAAATGTGAATAACCAAATAAAATTGTGTTGTTAAATAAAAAATTATACCAAATTTTGCTTATTTAATTATATATTTTGCTATTTTAACAAAATTTTAGAATAAAACTTGACTTTTGTGAATAATTCTCTGTTTTTGTTACCATTAGTATATCTTTTCTCTCAGTGTGTTTTACTTTAATACGAAGCGAAATAAAAGTTTAATTTCAACGCGATGCATCCGATCTTCCATCGGTCGAATCGACGGGACGCGACGCGGCGCCGCGACGCCGCGCGCGCCGCACCGCGCGGAGGGATAATATTCTCGCGCGCTTCTCTCGCTTTGCGATTTTTTTTTTCCTCCTCGACAGCGCGGCATACCTTTCACTACCTCCGCAGCCTTCTACGACGGCGCGATTATTAGCATAATGTTTTCCATCGTACTTGCATTGCTTTTCGCGAGTCACAGATCTCCTGCAAGCATGACGCAGCGCGTCGCCAGGACCTAACGTGTGCGAACGCGCGCGCGCGCGCGCGCGTTCAAGAGCGCGGTCTAAGCAAAAGCACACTAACTCGAAAACTGGTTTTATACCTCACGCGGAATATACTCCAACTCGGCGGACAAAGGAGGCGGCGATTCGATTGCGAGCGATTACGGTAAAAGTTCGCGCTGTTCTCTCGCGACATTTTTTTTTTCGCGACGAAAGGAAAACATTTATCGAAACGCGTGTATCATATCTTCGTGACGTGACATGAGCCGCATACCTGACGAAAAAAAAAAAATCCCGATACTCGCATTTTCGCCACTTCTTATAACGTGTACATGTACAGGGAGGGAGATACAATTTAAAACGAGTACCGATGTAAACTCGCGCGGGTAAAACCGAAACGCGCGCGCGCGACGAAAGCGGACGATTATTTTTTTTATCTCTCTCTCTCTCTGGGCGTGCTAATGGATTCTACAGAAAAATATACCGTTATGACGACCTTGCTACTCTAATGGCGTCTTGTCTGCTGAATAAGAGAATTACCGTGTTCACCGTATCTTGAAATTAAAAAAAAAAAAGAGTTGTGAGTAGCAAAATATAATATATAATGTCCTATAGTTTCTATGATGCGTTTAAAGTCCAAGAGAATCGTAAAGCAATCCGTATACATATAATGTATATATGAGATGCGTACATAAGTCTTCGCGACGCGAAATACGAAAAAGATAAAATATCCTAATTTAATCGAGAATATAAAATTGAAATTCAAAGATATATCTAAGACTCCAATGATAAAAATATTAATATTCGACAGAATAATTACGAAAAGTTCAAATTCATCTATGATTCATTTAAAGTTCAAGGGAATCATAAAGCAATCCGCATATATGAAATGCGTACATAATAGTCTTCGCGATGCGAAATACGAAAAAGATAAAATATCCAAATTTAATCGAAAATATAAAATTAAAATTCAAAAATATATCTAAGACTCCAATAATAAAAATATTAATATTCGACAGAATAATTACGAAAAGTCCAAATTCTTCTATGATTCATTTAAAGTCCAAGGTAATTGTAAAGCAATCCGCATATATGAAATGCGTACATAATAGTCTTCGCGATGCGAAATACGAAAAAGATAAAATATCCTAATTTAATCGAGAATATAAAATTGAAATTCAAAGACATATCTAAGACTCCAATGATAAAAATATTAATATTCGACAGAATAATTACGAAAAGTCCAAATTCTTCAGTACAAATTTTTGCATACAAGAACATATATATAATATAAATATACAAACATAATAAATAAATATACATAATCATATATAAAATTTGTCTGTACATATCCAATTATTAGTTTCTTTTTTGCAAAATTTTTGCTTAGTACAAGAAAAAAATAGACATAAAATTCATGGTGTCCAGCGATACCTGGCTAACCAATTCAAGGATAATTCCAGGACATTCTAGGTAAAAATCCTGGTTTTTCCAGGTTGATTAATTTTTATTACTCAATTAATTTTTATTGATTTATGCAATATTATATGTTTTGTATTCAAATTAGGATTCTATATGACGAATCAATTAAAATACAAACATTAGATTATGCAAAATCTAGAACAATATCTATTACCTTACAAATATGCTTACCTTATCGCATCTTTAATTAAGAAAGAGCTACAACCATAAACTTTTCCAAAAACAACGATACCGATGTTATTAACACAATTCTTGCACACGCGCAAGAAATATTTTTTATTTCTTTCTTTTCTTAAAATCCAATTTTTTTAGAATAAAAGAATGACAAAAATTCAAGGTCAATCCCGAAACTTTAAAGGTTTTCCAGGAATTTTCCATGACTTATTAAATTCCGTAATAATTCCAGGATTTAATTAAGGATATTCTAAGATCACTGGACACCCTGAATGATTTAAAGATAATTTTGGCATTGTTTCTTTTACAAAAAGCCAAGTTTAAAGAAATATATATATACATACAGTTATAAATATGAGTAATTTCTTTCTCATTTCTTTAAACTTGACTTTTGCCAAGGTGTGATAAAAGGAGTAGCGATTATATTTATAGTTGTATGGGCATCCAGCGTGACTGGAAGTAATCACGTGGCGTCAATATTAACCCGGTCTGGTCAAGAATAGCCCCGGTGGGAATCCCGTCTGACCACCTTGTCCCCCACGATCGGTCAAAACGTCTAAATTAGGGTGAATGTGCCGTTGTAAATGTGTTATGGTATCGTTATTCGGTTATCCACTGGTCGTATCGCGACATTCGTGACGCAGTCATTGTTTAATCGCTAATTTATATATAAGTTTAAATTACTATGCGGCGAACCGCGTAACATCTTAAAAATTAAACAATCGTATAAGCAAACTCAGATTGTTCCGAATATTATAAAATAATTTGTTACGCAAAATTTTATGCTTAATTGATAAGTCGATTCTAGCTTGTTCTCCCGAACATTGTTTTATCGATGTTTTCAAGATTCTTGATTTTCAATATTTCCGAAAATTATATACACGTGTAAAATTGATGTCCAAATTAAGATTTCTTAGAAGACATCTTAAAACATACTTTTTAAAACCGCCATAAATCGGGATCGAGGACATACATCTCAAGGCCGATATATCCTATTGATAGAATTTCATAAAAGATAAAGATTTTTTAATCAATTCCTTAAAATGTCTTTGAAATTTGAAAACGTTACTTAAATGAGTTAAACTCATTATTGTATTCTCTGCAATACAATATATTTGTAACATATATATGTATCATAGAAATTACCGAATTATATTAGCAGCCGCGCGTGCCGCTACCGCCATATAGGCGGCATAGATGTTTTCTGCTCACCACTTTTATATAATTAATTAATGTCATTAGTAGCGACATCTTCTTGTCCATCCGCGAAACTTCAGACGATTAACTTATATATTTTTTCTTTCAAGTAATCTAAAGGTAAAATAAAATTTACCACCGATGATCGAGGTATTAAATATTAAGGACGGCCAAGGGCAAATTATATTCGAAAGTGAAATAAAATGTACAGTGGAGGATTGGGAGCATCAAAAAAAGAAGATAATAACAATTATTTATATTCATATTATTTGGTTTACAGAAGTTAACAAACATAGACTGAATCTAAAAATCAGTTCGCTATAGACATTATTTTTACAAACATATAAACATACTCAGTTACAAAAATAAATGGAATTTCTTATTTGATTCTCCGCGTTTTGTAAATGTTACAAAGTAAAGGTTTCATAAAAGACACACTCTTATAAATTATTAGTGTTAAGTATGGATATACCATATCATTGCAAAATTTTGTAATTCCTGTCATAAATTCCTGTCATTTTGTAGGCTTATATATATCTGTATATATACATATACAAGGTGGACCATTTTAATTTTATCCAGCCGGTTTCCTCAAAATCCTTAAATTTAAAACGAAAATGTTTCAAACGACAGTTTAATCGTCAATCTAACACCTTGGATAATACAAATGTCGGCGGTACTGTAACTTTAAAGCCTCATAGCTTGGAAAATACTTAATAAAAATTAACATTATTGTGGTGGTTTGAAAAGGTCTTGTCAGTCACAGGAATATGTAATAAAAAATGGGAGGGTTTCATTTCAAAAATTCTAATCTTGACCTGACCTTAAGGACATCTCGAGGTCAATTAAGGTCACCATTTTCTTTCCCTTTTAAAGCCATAAAAGTTTTATCTGAAACATTTTCGTCTAAAATTTGAGATTTTAAGAAAACCGGCTGAATAAATTAAAATGGTCCATCCTGTATATAGTATAATATAATATAATCAGCTACGTTATTAAAGCTATTATTATTATTAGTATTATTATTAGTACATCTCGGTTACACCGGCAACGAGTCGAATCTTGATGAAACGTGATGCTGAAAAAGTTACGAACAAGCTAAAAATATTTCTCGTTGTTGGTGAAACCGAAATTAGCTGAACACATTTTCATATCTCTCCACAAATATAACATTTTTATGTAACCACGGATACGACATCACATTATTACAAGTACTACTTAATAAACAGATAATAAAAACGAATTTATTTCGCAAAAAAAAGGAAGAACAGAATTTTTAATATTCATACAAAGATTCATAATTTCCCCACTTTTCTTTTCCCGTCAACCATGAGAATTATAAAAGATATTAGAAAACATCGTGTTAAAAATTACGTAGAATATCATGATTTTGTTTTTATAAAATAAGCACAACGTAAAATAAAGTTACATGCATTTGAAGTACAACTACATTGGAAGACATTTAATTATCAATATAAGGAAAAAATTTATAGATAAATAAAAACCATTAATTTTTTTGTTTTAACGTCTAAACACAGCGTGCTACTCTGAATTTGTGGAGTATACAGCATTAAGATATTATTAATTACAAGATCGTCTGCATTAAAAATGTTGTTATTGGCCCCATTCTGATTTTATTATTATAATTTGCACTTAAAAATTTCAAGCCACTAGGCTGTATATAAATATATAGAGATAACTCTGAACAATTTAACAATTTTCATAACTCGAATATAAATGGTAATTTGTGCGGTTTGTTCACTTCACAGTTGTTCGTTTGGCAATGTTTCACTGCGTTATTACGATTTTCGCAATTAGACATTATGACTCAACCTAAAGCAAGAACGAATTGGAACGATGCCTAATAATAGCAGGAGTATTTTCGACAAGTAGCTGAGTACACAGAGAATATGTGTTTAAATCGTCATCATTATAAAACATTTATATCAACTGCTTCGATCGAGTGCATTTCTTAGAGACATCGT